CTACCATTTGACAAGCCATTATGTGGATCCCATAAGCCAGCAGCCAGCGACTAAGTTTATAAGATACAAGTAAACACACGTGCCACCACCTCTTGTGTATTTGGCAGACGGCAGAGAAAGCCACTCACTTACCGTTACACCATTGGAATGGTTGCATGAAATTTGACTCCCAGGACAGCAGCAGTAAATTCAGGCCCTGTCAGGAGGAGGCTGGAGGGGAGCCAAACTCGTGGGCAGGAGCCCCGGACACTGGATCTGTGTGGAGCCTGGATTCAGTCTCTCTGAGCTGGGTCTCTCCTTTGTTGGGTTGTGTCAGCTCCCCCAAAAACAACCATCAAGATCTTCAGATTTGCTCAGATTCCACAAATCCTCGAGGGTGCGGTTTCATGTGGCTCAGCAATCTGTGCAGCCCAGCATTCCCAAATCTGGATTAACCACTCCGTGTAAAGATTGGGAGATTTGGGACTGGGGTTTGGACCGGGACTGAAGACATCATGTGCTCCTGGATCCCAGTGAGAATGATGTCATCAAGGGAGGGAGAGAGAGAGAGAGAGAGGGGAAGAAACAAAGAAATCTTGTTGACAAGAAATGATTGTTTTTCAGCTGCCTCACACCATGTGTTATTCAGGAGTTGTTATTGTGAGGAGCTGCATCTCACTCAAGTCCAAAATGTCACAAACAACACAGGCTGCTTGGTAACAGGAAATACTTTTACATACATACATTTCCAGCAGAAAAAGGGGGCCTCCTTGACTTCACTCTGCGTCTGCAGTGTCGTCCCCCTCGCCAAATTCAATGACATCCACCGCTCAAAATGACAGTCCTCGTCCAGTGAAGGTAATTATCTGGCATTAGTCTGTGCTTTGTCTTCCACCCAAAGCTGCTTTTTTTAACAGAGGATTTTCACAAGTCTCATCCCCCTCTCCTCTGTTGTCTCCTCCTCCAGTCCTCTGATCTTGCAGTGGGTATTCCTCCTCAGTATAAGAGGCAGAGATGTGCGTCCACCAGAGCCCAAACAAAGTGAGGACAGCTCCATGCAGTCAACAACACTCCTCTATAGCTGGGTTTGCTGTTTCTGCTGGTGAAGGTGTGTTTGTGTGTCAGTTAGTGCATGTGTGTGTGTGCGTAGGGGGGGATCCTACTCTCCCTCTAACCATCTGCTCCTTCAATTGAGAAAAAAAAACAGAGACAAAAGGCGGTGTGTGTGTGTGTGTATGTGTGAAGGAGTGTGTCTGCGTGTGTCGTGTTCAGACTCTCCCACCTCCAGCTGGCTTTGTCATGGCAGGCTTTCCCCTCTTCCTCTTTCAATCCATAATGGTGCTCAGAGAGAGCCTGCGAATTCGCCTTTCCCCTTCCTCCTCTTGCTCCTGCTCCTGCTCCTGCTCCTGCTCTGCCTTGGGTTTGTAAACAGATCTGTGCTCATGTGACCAGCCGTTTTGCCTCGCAACTCTCCTCTCCCTCAGCCCTCCCTCGCTACCTCTGTCCTCCAATCTGTAGGCAGAAGGAAGGCAGAATGAGCCCGACACTGACGAATAGGGCGCCTGCAAGCATGCTGATGTGTGTGTGTGTCTGTGTGCGCACACCCCGGTGCATGTATATGTCAGAGGGAGAGAGGAGAGAGACATTTGCAGCAAAGTCGAGGGAGGCCCCGGCCAGCAACATGCGCACGGCTGATGTCCTGACAACCACGAAACAAAGCCATTTGTGTGCAGTTGTGGTCAGCAAAAGAAAAGATGATGCAACCTCAGTCACCATGTCCCTCCTTTGCGCGCACTCAGGCTGTATTTTTAGAGCCACGGCAGATTATTATTCATGTTTGCTTTGTTTGATCTATATATAAACATCATGTCACTCCTTTGCAAAGCAGGAAAGAGGTATCTGTCAAAGCAGGAAGCAAGAAAAGTAGGGAGAGAGAAAAGTCACATCCTGGACAAAGACGTCAACCCCCACACCAGCGGCCCTGGCTGCCAATTCACTGGGGGAGAGAACAGTTGCTGGGCTACTGGGCGAGCTGTGACACGGTCAAGGGGAGTGCTGCCTCACCAATCCCCAGGGGGAGGGAGGGAGGGATGGAGGCTTCAATGGGATCCATGCCATTTTCATTCACCCTCCTCCTCCTCCACCCCCCCCCCCTCCTGCTCTAGTAATGATATTACTGCTGGATACTGAGGAACAGCTGGATGGACCGCACAGATGCATGAGCATAAACACAGTCCATAATACACTGCATGCACTGTTGGTTGTTTACGGGTTTGGGAATCAAATGACATGAGTGTGGTAGCTACAGGCTTGTGTTGTCATTGTTGGCATGTGAAAGATGGTGGTTTTGTTAACAGCACGCCCTCTTGTGAAATATGATGAAAACATCATTGTATCAACAGCTTCTTCAAGATAAATACACAACGTGAAAATGCTCAGAGGTTATAGGCTGCACATTGGCTGTGATGAAAGATACTGAGAAGGATTTTTCAAACCAGTAGTGGAAGACAATTCCTCAACGCTTGAGTGATGAAGCTGAGCTACAAAATGAGCGAGCGAGATGCAAATCTTGGCCTTGTTTTCTTAGTGACATGGAAATCTTTTTGGCTGTCCCAACCTTTTGTTTTGCATAAATCATAGGTTTGCCTGATTGTAGGTTTATCTGCTGATAACAAGGCAAAAGGCCAGAAATGTGCTTTAAAGCTAAATAAACTGACATTGTACAAATGCTTTTCTATGATTCTAATAACACTGATAAACCCTTGTTACATGGGCCAGTAATGACAGAGTAGTCTCTTGTATCTGGACCTATCTCCACAGCACTGTGTCAGTGCTCTAGAAAGGTCTGAAAGCTCCTGTCATCATTCTGGTATAAGAGTACAAAACACTCTGGGTTGTTTGTATTTCTCTAAACCAATCTCAGTTGTCCTCAACAGTGCCAAGCCCAGGATGCAGCGACAGTGCCCTCGCAAAATGGTAGCTCAAAGGTAACAAAAGGGGAGAATACCAGATAAAATAGCTGGTCATTGGCAGGCTTATACCCACAGTCTACATCCAGTGAGTCAGACTACATGCAAAGTATTTGGGTGTTTCTGTTGGCACCTCTTACTGTCAAACCATGTATTATTGATGCTCATTTCCTTTGTGAGTTTAAATGTGCAGAGTCAGGCCCAAGCACAGCTGACCACATCTAAGTGGGTTGTGGTGACATCAGATGGGCTTTGGCATCATTATTGAGCATCAACATCACAGGTCGATTCAGTAGCCTCCACTGCTTTTGCCAAACACAACAGATAAATCATAGGCAAGTGCCTATGAGCCTGTTCTCCCTCACCACCCCCCCCCCACCGTGTTGAACAGAGGCTCTGTGGATGTCTGTGTATGCGGATCGAGAAGCAGGTGGAATGAAAATACATTCTTCCTATTATTGCAGCAAATTGCTGCACAAAGCTTGGGCATTTTTTATTTATTACTAGCAGTAAATAACTGTTTGTAAACTAACTGTGATTTTACCGCCTGTTTATCAAGATCACGAGATCTCGCGAGAACTTGTTTTCTGAGACGGACAGGGCTCAAACAAAGTTAACTTTCTCTTGATCTGTGCGGATGAAAAATGCAGCTTTAGTGTCAGAATGTTGGTAAGATGTGTGGCTTGTGGAAAATGAACCCAATATTTACTTTAGTGACTACTGGGCGAAAGAATTGACCATAAATTGTGATCACATTCATTTTCCTCATTGACGACAATACATTCAGAGCTGCCGTGGCGCTGAATCGTCACTGAATCAGGAAGTGAGCTGAGTTGGGTATCTCGCTTCACCCGGTATCTCTGGTCAGATCCACCCCTTGCTCCTCTACAGCTCCACCCTCTTGTCCAAATAAGGTCACTTCTGGCTCCAAAAAAACAAAATTGCGTATTCCAAAATGCTAAACTCAAAGCTTCAAGTCCACAAACCAATGGGTGACGTCACGGAAGCTACACCCATTATTTTATGTCGTCTATGGTGGCCACAAGTGTTTGTTACAGGATCATATTAAATGATAAAATGTAGTGTAACAGTAGCGTACATTTGGAAGTGCCACAAAGTCTGAAATGGGACTCATTTATGTCAGTTACACAGCATTATCTAGCTAGCTAATGTTAGCTAACGTTAGCCAAAATAAGCTACTGGTCATACCCAGGCTGCCAAAAGTACAGCTCAGCCTTGCAGCCAGTTTTTCCCAGTGGGAAAATACCCTGATGACCACAAAGCCTTTCCCCATAAGCCCACCATTATAAAAGAGACGTCTGTAAAACTGTTGACAGGACACCTCAAACTGCAAATAAGGTCAATTAGGACTCTTTCTATTATGTATTTTGGATCCATGGAGGTATAGGTACGTCAGGGCCAGCAGGATAAAAACTACTGTGCATATTCAGTGGGCCGAATACCACGTAAGTAAACCCAGAAGCTAGAATTTTAAAAGAGCAAGACTGTAGCAGCAAAACTTATGAGTGTATTGAATTAAGCAGTGAGTGTTTTATTGCTTGCTAATTAAAGTCTTGTCTTGTAAGAGAAAGATTGTGTTTTTCTTCTATTAAAGGTGATGTAGTCTCTCTTTAAAGCAGAGAGCAGCAAGGGCTGAAAGTGCAAGTAGCTCTTCTCTTTGCTTAGGCTACATGACACACGTTAACACTTTGCTTTGTGCCCCGGGGATATTTATGGTGTCTCTGCACTGGAGGGCAACACAAACATTCACTAGTGTTAATATATCACGAGAACTCTCCAGTGGGCTGTAATAATGCTTCACTATCAGCTTGATCATATCATCAGCTCTATGTCTGCTGCCTAGAATTTACAGACTTTAGATTTTTGCCAAGCTCTGTCCCTCAGAGAGCTGTGGCACAGTTTGTTTTCAGTAATTCATGACTTGTAGATAAAAATGTTGCGGCAACAGTAAAAACAACAAACAGGTTTTGGGCTACACACCCAGAACTTGACATCTTTTTAGTTAACTGAACTATATGTGAACCAGGAATATGTTAACAGTGTCATTATGCTAACATATTGTGCCATCAGTCAAACTATATACTCCACTGAAATCAATCAATATAATGTAATATAATAATCAATATGATCTGTGCATTGAAATAAATCAACTAATCAACATTCTAATTCAACAATCTAATTCAACTAAGTTTGACAAGTTACTATTACAAAAAGAAATAAAATGATTCCCGAAGTGACTGAAAATAAAAGACGAGCCAATCCAAGCTGCTCTTTGTCCTGCTGAACTTTTCAGACCTTACTGTAATACACTGCCCATTCCTTTTTCTCCACCTCATGGGTGTGTCCCTTTACAAATCCATTTGCTACTCCATTGGCCTCTCCATTCAGTCTGCCATTGTTCTCACCACCCATTTGGTCCTTTCTCAGAGCCAGAGCTGGCTTACAGGTGTGCCAGTTCCATAAAATTTTATTCATATCATCCTGGGCCCTGATACCCAGAAGCTTGTCTTCGTCGCTTCTCCTCTTCTCCTCATCTTCATCGTCGCTGTCACTCGAGTGGCGGTGGTGGAGGCTGCGCATCTCCCCACTAATGTTCTCGAAGTACTGGTGGATGCAAACCTTGGCGAAACTCTTGGCGTGCTCTTTACAGGTCTCATCGAACATTTTGCGCTCAATGTCAATGTAGTGAGACCAGTACTTGGTCTTGAGAAAGGCGGCTTGAGTGAAGCAAGGTCGAATAGCTCGGATCAGGAAGGCTGTGAAGGTCATCATGAGCAGAAACATCCATCCACATGCCTGTAAGATATAGACATTGATAAATGTATTGGTGTGGCAACATGAAGAAAACATACATAGGTGTAGATTTAGGACGCAGGGGACACGTCCCACTCAGTACTTAAATGTGCATTTGTCCCCCCTACTAAAAACATGAAAGTAGCAGAAAACTTTTCATTCATTCATTTTCCGTAACTGTTTAGCCTGTTGGGGGTCACAGGGGTTGGAGCCTATCCCAGCTGACATTGGGCGAGAGGCAGGGTACACCCTGGACAGGTCGCCAGATTATCACAGGGCTGACACATAGAGACAGACAACCATTCACACTCACATTCACACCTACGGACAATTTAGAGTCACCAATTAATCTGCATGTCTTTGGACTGTGGGAGGAAGTTGGAGTACCTGGAGAAAACCCACGCTGACAAACTCTGCACAGAAGGGACCCCCCCACCCTGGGTTTGAACTAGGAGCCCTCTTGGTGTGAGGCGACAATGCTAACCACTGCACCACCCTGTTTGATGCTTGATGTTTGATGCTCAAAGTTTTATGGTGGACGACCCCAAGTCCCTGTTCAATATGTGTCCCCCCTCCCAATGTTGAAACGAAATCTACTTCCTTGAAAATACATAGAATCGGACTATATCTTGTGTTTTTGTTCTCGCACAGCGGAGGTCAAATAGTCCAACATGTGACAGAAAAAGCAAATCCAGGAGCTCCCTGACAGTTTCATTGCTCATTAACAGAATCTGTATATCAATAGACTTTTCAGAAGACGTTACTTTTAAGCCTGTATAATTGCCCTTCGGCTGATCAAAGACCTAAATAACAGTGTGGGTGTTTTTTAGATGGATTGAAATAGGTCCCAGTTCCATGAATAATAAATTTAGAGGCTTATCTCTCACTCTAATAAGCGAATGGGAAAACTTCAGTGATCTCAAAGTGCAAGGCTCAAGTCGGGTGGGGAGATTTGAGTTAACTACAGTTTTAGAGGAATAAAGCAGGGAAAATTTAATTTGCTTAGTCATCATGTCCAGTGATGAAGTTGGAGAAGTGCCTGCTGGAAGTGTTTCCAACTTTTGGCCATGCTTACCATACATATGTAAATTAACTGATTGATCTGACTATACTAATACTAATCTTTACATTGCAGATGCCCTTAATATTTACAACTGCGCTTTTCGTACCATGACAAAACTGGAATGAAACAACAACATGCTGTACCTGCCAAGGGTCAGGTGGCAAGTTAGAGGGGAGTTTTACGCGCCCAAGCCCAGGAGCTCATAGTGTCATCATCTGCCTATACTTCTGTTATTCAAACAGGCCATTTACCTGACTTTATAATGGTCTAATTGTCTCCAGGTCTGTCTCTGTCAAAGCATGCCAGCTAATGACCCCTCAGATTAAACACATTCACAGTAAAGTGGAGAAACCAAGTCAGCTGGCTACCTGTGATATACACTTGATGTATCGTGATGCTGCCACTCTTATTTCCTGATGCTCAAATAGATCTTTGCATGGAATCCTCGCCAGCAGTTTTATCTTCTCTGTCTCTGACAGCCCCGTCATCACACTGTAATTCCCAAACCTGTCAATGTCCAGGTTGACGCTGAACGCACAGAGGAAGCTCTTCCCATCCATGAGAGTGACAGACACCCACACCGCAGGTGCTATCAAGGATCTCTGCGTGATTGAGCAAAACATGTAGCGAAGGATTGTTGGATCCTTGCCGCGCTTCCCTGTGGGTCTTTTCCACTCCTCTGCGAGCACTGACACATTATTGTTCAACACGAAACCCAACAGAAAGAACCATATAGGTGGAATAAAGAGCAGTCCGATCCCATAGGTGTAGTTGTACTCTGGCATACAGGGGCAGCTAAACTCAAAGGCAGAGTACATCTGTGCACTGGCTAGTGCCATGATACCACAGATCCCATTCATAAAGGATTCCTGGTTGGACTGGAGGAACTGGAACATCATACGAAACTTATCCATCTTGGGAGATGTGGTGGATCCTTGGTTCAGATGGAATTAAATCTGTGGAGTGAAGTACAATGGAAAGCTTCAAATCAATCAGTGAAACAGTGGTGGACAAGGCACCGCAGCACAGTGACTCTTGAACCAGTGTGCAAAAGAAATACTTCACCACGTCCCAAATTATGGTTTGTATAGCAATCTGTCGCCCTGTGTTATGTTGAATTTGGATAGAAAACTTTGTTTTTCTTGTAAGCCTCCACAGGGACCAAAAACAACACTGGATACAACTAGATAAATGAGACTTTGATTATACTGCACAAATTGTTTGAGAGTTTGTAAACTGATGTTTTGATATTGTTGTACTGTTGTTTAATGCAATCCTCTTTGACTTCAATTCATCATCACTCTGCGTTCACTGTGGAGGTATGTGAGAAAAACAAAGTTTTCTTCCCAAATTCAACATGAAATGGGGTGCGTAATTTACCCAAATGATCATTTGGAGGTGTAGTAGTAGTATTCTATTATATTTGTGTACATTTTACATTGCTTTATATTTGTTTGACAGCACTTTGGTCAATGGCGGATGTTTTTAAATGTGCTATATACACTTGATTTGGTTTAATAAAGTATTTACTAGTGCTTTATAAA